GAAACTGGGGGCCCCGTTCCCCCCCCCCCGGTTGTGTTCATTTTGAACAATTATAGGTTATAAATAAACTAGCTTTGCACCCTAGGATAATAAGGGGAAGTAGTGGGAGATAATTAAGCAAAAAATAGGAATACTCACTAGTTTTGCAAATGTGTAATATGAGTATTTTGTTGAACGCACTGTTTTATAATTGGCTTTACTGCCAGGGAATCATACGGAAGACGCTTTTGGTTTCGCGTTTTGTTAAGATTGACCTTCCCGAGGCGCCGTAGCAATGATAAACATTGACAAGCAGCTGTTCTTTTAGTATTACGTTACAGAGCTCACGTGTAAGATATTACTGCGTGAAGTGTATAAAGGTGTTGTAGCAGATACTCATTTCTATCACTAATAAAGCAATGGAGCCTGTTATAAAAATAAATTCTGGTAGGTAAAATGTTCGTGACGTTTGTTTTGTCGTTAAAATTAATGTCGACGTATTTCAATTGGGAACAGTTGTAGGCTGGTAACGTTTGGCTGCTGTTGCGTCGTCTTGCTTCAGTTTGATATAAAGCCTGTTCTGTTTTCTCTTCAGGAGCGTCGAAGTGGGACATTCGTCAGCAAGTCTGGGACTATATAGAAGAGAACAACCTGGCCAACTTCCCAAGGCCCGTTCACAACAGAATCCCAAATTTCAAGGCAGGTTAAAGCAATTTATGGAAACACTTAGAAAAACGTCTAAATCAAACACACAGTGGCATTAACGTTAACAACATAGAGGACTAATATTTATTGTGCATAAAGACTTATATTATAGTATATAGTATATCACACTTTATGGAGGACTTGATTGATTACTTTAAAACCAATAGAAGTCCCCAGGTGACCCACTTGAATGACAAACTACACACTTGGAACGTTACAAGTCACTGTGTTGTTACCTATGTTGGGAAAGTAAATGAACATGTTCATTTTGAATTAAATGCCTGTTTAAGTCAAATCATTGCTAAACCAGTGACACTAGGTTATCATGTTTGCATAGCAATTCTTGACTCGCGTTCTTAAATGGTGAATGTTTAATGGTTTCCCTGTTTGTGCATCTCTGGATGTTTTTATTGTGTATTTAATGGCCAGGCTGCAAATCAAGCATGCAACAGGCTTGCAGACCTGCAGGTGTTCAAGTCCAGCCAGACAGTCAAAATAAACCCAGACAAACCCCAGCAGCAGGCACGCTTTGTCACTCTGGAAGTAAGTCTGACAAAAAGAAAACTATCATCAGTCCTTGTTCCCTCCTCTTCTTTCAACCAGGGTGCGTTCACAGCCTGTGCCAGGGTGTCTGAGCTGCAGGAGTTCACCCAGACAGCCGAGGTGAAGGTGGATCCTGATAAACCACTGGAGGGTGCCCGGTTGGCAGTGCTACAGGTAGCACTGCACTATGTGAAAGGCACCAAGAACTGCAGTGCCTCAGGCTGTAGTACAGAAATGCCTTTACTCTGTCTTATCCGCTTTTGTAGATGTTATGTTACATCTCCTGGTTCACTTCATAAAGTAACATACTGTATCAGGCGCATCAGTATTTTCATCTGCTGACTTTGAATCTACTTAATATGTGTTATTTCTACCATTACTCACTCAATATTTCCAATCCAGTATCAGTCATGCAAAACAACTGTTAATTTCTGGTGGATCATTTTTGGGATGATCTTCACAGGCACAAAAAACATTGCTGGTCCCAACTCCTCGTCTTCGTACTGGTCTTTTCAATAAGATTACTCCTCCCCAAGGGGCCAGCAAAGAACAGCTACGTGTATGCTCTTCATCCCAGGTTTGAGCTTGCACATTTTTATGAACATTTTCAAACAGAAGTTCATTAGGATTCAGAGACCCCCACATTTAACCTACAAGTTTTTTATCTTCTGCCCTCTTTCTTTAGGGTGTGAAAGACTTCAGTGTGCCTGTTGACCTGAATGCGAAGGTGAAGGTAGACCTGCTGGTGATCGGCTCTGTGGCGGTGTCAGAGAAAGGTGACTGTTATTTGGAATATCAATACTTTTAAGTACTGAGAGTCTAAAGATATTGCAGTTTGCCTCACAAACAGAAGATTACTTGTTACCCTGGTGAAAATATAAGTAATGTAACAATATTAATTAGTTCATCAAAGTAATGTTACTTTTTGATTACTTTGATAAAAAAAGGAAAACAAAAAGTCCAGCAGCACTTGCAGTGTTTTGAGCAACTTTAATGAGAAGACCAATGCGTTTTGGCATGAAGCCTTCGTCGGGGTTTATTGAAGCCACACAACAAAGAGTCCTATAAATAATAAAAATATAAGACATGGCTGCTTAGAGCAATGTGTGATGATTTGACTGACAGACAAGCGGCAGTGCAAAGTCAAACAAGAGAACCAATCAAAACAACATTTAATGCATGCCACCAAATGAGTGGAGCCATTCTAGATGTAGACACAGATCCTTGTTAGCCATCGTGCTTATGATGGTGTTGCACTTAAATATGTCTCAGTGGCTTTGCAGACAGAATGAATATTATGCTAACCTTTTGACCCAAAACATTATGTTCAGATGTAACTCCTTTGTAATTACCAACATTTTTGGTAACCGTAATTTAATTACATTTTTTTTTCTCAGTAACTGTAACTAATAACAATTACATTTATTTTGTAATTTAATTATAGCAGCTACAATTTGCAGGCTCAAAATGTGTAGTCTGTGGATACTGACTTTGCTAAACCAGGACTTTTAAGATACACAGTAATATGTTGTTGACACTATGGATAGTGACAGGAGACTGAAGGAACAGATAGTATGACAAAGATATTGAGTGATGTTAAATGCTGTTTTGTGATCAGTGGGGCACCAGGACACACAGTCAGGGAGATCTGAAGAATAACAGAAATGAAAGCAGGGGCAGATGTCCCTAATCAGATCCATTCTGCTTCTTGTGTGTTCTACTGTGTTATTCCCTCCATGAAAATTGTCCCATCACTCACAGTGCATTTTGATTCTCATTTTCAAAGTGCCTGAGAGAGGTGCTGCAATGCTGCGGTGAAACAGACATGTTTACTGTAATGTATACGTTTCCAAATTGCTCCAAATTGTTGCTGTACAACACCACATGGTTTCCATTGTTGCACAGGACCCATCAATGTTCGCATCAGACTACTGGCATTGTTTTTATGAGTAGAAAACATTACTGCTGCTGCCCTCAATGTGTATGTCAGTGTATCATATTTGAGTTCAGTTTTTAGATTAAAATTCTGTTTTTGCACCTTATTTTAAGTTGAATGTAATGCACATGTTGATTATTCCTGATTTACATGAAGTGAATCTGGGCTCAGGGAAAATGTTGTCTCATACATGCTGTGTAGACCATCTGTCCCTGTATAACATAATCCAAAACCTACATTTAAAATGTGTTTGTGGCTTCTGTCTCCCCCTGCAGGATTTCGGATTGGAAAAGGAGAGGGCTATGCTGATCTGGAGCATGGCATGATGGTTTCAATGGGAGCTGTGAATGAGTCTACTGTGGTGGTTACTGTTGTCCATGACTGCCAGGTCAGTTCGCTTATATGGAACTTACTGAACAAACTCGTGGTTTTGTGAAACTTGTCCAGCACATGGGAAATTATTGTTTCATTTAGACAGTCAGCAGTTTGACTAACATTCTCAAATAAATATTGACAACACTGACATTCAAAATGCTATGAAATTGTAAATAAATAAAATCATATCCGTAAGTAGCAAAATAAATAATTTTAACTGGAAAATATGATTTAAAACTATTTCCCTTTCCCTTTATTCTTAAAATTGTCAAAGATCTGATGGAATACAACTGTTTTTCTAATACTAATTATTTCTGCTTTCAGATTGTGGACATACCAGAAGAGCTAATAGGAAGTCATGACCTGACTGTGGACTACATCCTCACACCTACCAGAGTTATTAAAACCAATTGCCCATTACCCAAGCCACAGGGAATCATCTGGACTAAGGTAAATTTAAAAAACCCTTTATTTGGTGTGCAGTGCTACTGTAACTTCACAGTATAGTTACTTCACAGTGAAGTTGATTTAAACAGGCTCCATAATGACCTAGGGGTTAAGGCAGCAGCCATTAACCTTCAACATCCCTGGTTTGCATCTGGCCAGCGACCTCTGTTGCTTGTCATTCCACGTCTCCCTCACTTTCCTTGTCATCTCTCCACCAAATGTGTCCAATAAAGGCTATAAAATGCCCCAAAACATAACTAAAACAAAAAAGGAGTTGGCTTTAAAAATCCACCAAGGTAATGGACAATAAATAGTTGTCTTAAACTTTGTGAAAGGCAAAAATAAACTAATCTTAGCAAAATCTGAACCATTGTGTTAATCTTTTAGAAACAAACAGCATTTCAGCATCAGACAGACTGAGGCAGACTCACAATATATAACGGTATAAACAAAAAAGCACTGTAGCCCTTGTTACCACTGTGTTGTATCACAGTAGATACAATGTTTGTGTAGAAACAAAAAGCCCTTGTTACCACTGTTGTATCACAGTAGATACAATGTTTGTTGAGTGTAGCTCCTCTCTTCAGACACACTGCCCTCTAGTGGGCATACAGTGACACCACTGCTGCATTCATTCTGGTTGGATGTGTGCATTTCATTTTTGTCTTACAGATAGTTCACAATTGTTAGTAATGATATGAGTTAGCACTGTAATTTGTATTTACAGTACATACTATGCATACAAATAATGCACTCCTAAGGCATACAGACAACCAGTTATCAGATACAAAAACAAACTTCTAGAGAAAAATAATCAACACATTTATTAACTGTGTGAGTATACTTTTAAATTCATACTTCATTTTCTGTTTGGACCTTAAACTTCTGATTTTCTGACACTGTGTATTTTCTACCTGATGATTTGTCTCTAATTCAACATGATAAACATGTATTATTCTTATCATCTGGAGAGTTTGTGTGTAACCTCTGGGTTTCCTAAAGACATGCATGCAAGTAAACAGGACCGAGTGACCTCACAGACAGGAAGGCCATGTCTGATCATCAAAGGCTCCTCTGCCCAGCCATCTTGGCTCTGCAGGGGCAGGGGAACGACAGGTCACACAGGGCAGTGTAAAAACAATAGCCCCGTATATCCTTTACAGGACTGGTCAGCATCAAAGGCTGCCAAGACTCTTGAAGACCCAACAAATCAAACATCTTAACATTCTTTATTTTTAACTGCTTGGGAAGTGAAATGTCCTGCTGCTATAAAGATAGTTTACTATAGATTTCTATAAGATGAGCTGTGAGCAGGATGGAATAATAGCAATTAATAAGTCAGCTTTTGCTTTGTTAACTCATCTGTAGGTTTGCTTCATTGGCTCTGAGCAGGCCTGTGTGCATGCTGTGTGTGAGATCCCTCTCCTTTCAGCTTCACTGAGCATGTCCAGTTTTGTGTCTTCAGCTGGACACAGAAAAGTTGGAGAAGATCCCCATCCTAAAGACGCTGCGTGATCTGGAGGAACAGGCTGGAAAGGACGTAACACTGGGGGCGGTCCCTGCTGCAGCTGAGTCTGATCTGCAGATTGGTCAACCCAAAAAACAAACCAGACGGAGGGCAAGGCAGAACGTGCAGCAGGATGCTGCAAGAGAGTCCAAACAGGAGAAAGGACCAGAGGGAGAACAGAAAGCTAGACAGCGCCCAGCTAGGGTGAGGAAAGAAAGCAGAGGAGATGGCAGGGGAGGTAATGAGGGAGAAGACGAGAGAGGAAAGGGTAAAAGTGGGAGGAACATGAGGGAGAAGGGCCCAGAAGAAGGAGGAAGTGAAGTCCCATCTCAACGTAAACTCCCGCTGAGTGTGACCACAGTTTATCTGGGGGGGATCCCTGCAGGGCTGCGTGTCAGTGAGCTGAAAACTGCCCTCAGAGAGAGGGAGGTCGCTCCGCTGAGGCTCACCTGGCAGGGAGCTCAGCACAGGGCCTTTCTGGACTACAGTGATCCTCAGGCTGCAGACCAGGCCCTGGAGTCTCTGCAGGGTCTTAGTCTGAATGGTCACAGTCTGCAGGCTGAGCTGGCGAGGAGCCAGCCAGGAGGCAAGAGGTCTGGACAGCCCAGTAGGAGATCAAGACCATCAACAGCTATAAAATCTAAAACCGCACCACCAGGTACCAAGGATGACACCACTGAAAACACTGAGCAGTAATAGCAGTCGGCCAGAAGTATTGATTGAGGAACAACCTCAAATGCCTTAGGAGGAGTTTAGTTGATTTTTAATATTTCTGGGTTTATTAGAAGAGGACCTCAGATATATGACCCATAGACAAGTGACTGCTAAGGCTAATGAACACAACATATGAATAAAGTATGCAGCTATGACACCTAAAAATATGAGAAAAGTGCTGAATCCCAGCATCATAACTTAGTACGCTAGAAAAGTATTTTGTACATAATATTGCACAATACTTAACCATACACATATGTGCCTTGTTTACACACACACACACACACACACACACACACACACACACACCTGTTGGTCTGTGTCCCAAGAGCTTTCACGCCTTGAAGGTGATTCTTCAAAATAAACTATAGATATTAGTCTTGCACACCTAAGACTGTATATACAGTCTTTTTGTTAAAATGCTAATGTTCATTTTAGTTCAACCACCAACTAGCAGTATTACCTCTTCCAAGAAAGTTACAGTATGTTGTCAAACCTGCTTGCTAAAAAACATCGAGCCAAAGAAACTGGTCACTTGTTGCAGATAGTGTGACCATGTGGCCGTGTTACACACTTTATACAGTCCTGATACTTCCCAACTTCATGAAGTGTGAGCACTTGACATAGTTCTCACCAGATCTGTAATATTTGGATTGCTCTAAAAGCGTAATGTGTGTGGGTTTTTTTGTCTATTTTGTTCCATTGCCATATAGATGCAGCCATGAACTTAACACGAACATACTAGCAAAGGTTTATGCCATTTTGGTTACAGACTGCAGTAATATAATTAATTTAAATGGCCACAATTTAGTTGTGATGACTCATTTTGAAACTAGCTTGAAAAACCAGACCTTGTAAATTACCCAGGATTTAGGCATTGTCTAAAAATCAACATGTTTATCTGTAAGGATGGAGGTGTAGACTTTACATATCTAAATCAATTTTATTTACAAAATAGCACTTTTGGAGGATTGTATAACCTCATTGAAGCTTTGCTTTTTACCCAGTATAGTTTTTCTCATAATATTTTGGAAGTAGACATTGTGCATTCAGCAATATTTATGCCTTTACTGATAAAAATCACTTGATGGCTTTTGGTTAGGTCAGTTTGATGCCAGTCTCATTTAATGAACGAGGGAAGCCTGGATGACCTGTTCTAGTTCTATGCATCAGTTTGTAACATGTTATACAGTAACTTCCTGTACTAAAGGGTTTGATCATACCTGTTCAGTCTTAGTGTCTTTTTTAAACTGTGCAGCATCTCACTTCGATTTTGACAAATATTTGAGGATTATGGTCACTGAATTTTTGTTTGCATCTCAAACTACAATCAAAAATAACATTGTTCAGCTGAAGAAACAGCAGTTTAAGGTCAGAAATTACATTTAGATATGATATCTCAGACCACTGACTGGATTTTGACAAAACTTTCTGGGGTGACACATCTCACAGGGGGCTCTGTCTGCATTAGTCCAAACAGAGCAAGCGGTTAATTTAAACTTTTGTAGCAGAAATATTATTCACATACAAACCACTTAACCAGCACCCAATAACCCCTTATACTCCTAATGTACTGTATATCTTTCTGTTTTTGCACGACTTTACCTGCTATGTGATCAGTCTTGTGTCTGCAGGGCTAGAGTAGTGTCCTGTTTTCACTGACGTCTGGATTGCATTGAGACATAAGCACACAGCATGTCTGTCTGCACAGCGCAGGCCTCGGGCTTTTTATGGAGCTGTCATCCAAGCTTGGCCGGGGAACAGCTGTGGAGCCCCATCTCTCTGCCTGAGTCCCGCCAGAGCACTGAACCTCGGCAAATGTCATCAATTTGTTAATGCGCTGTTCCAGTGCTGTTACCATTGTGCTCCGTGGCATGCTCATTTTCCTGGGGTTCAGTCAGTGGTCAGTGCTAAGATGTATTTCTGCACCCAAACCTCAACAATACGACTTGTGAAATAACTTGAACAGGAAGATATTTACAGCGGAGTTAGTTTATCTAACATACAATAGGTGTGGATCAGAGTAATCCAGTGAACTGGACTATACTGATGCTCCCAAAATATACTGCTGCCCGTCATGTTTACCTACAGTACATGAGAAGCCTCTGTTGTTGATTTGCAAATTAATAGTCTATTACTTCGTTACTCTTAGCCTTTGATTCAGATATAAAAAAACCCAGCAAACCTCATGGTTTTTGATTTTGAACTTACTATAATCCACAAATAATAAGGAATCCGAAGAAGTGCATTTAGGAAAACTGGCCCACACGCCTTTTATATATAGCTAGTGGATATGTTTTATCCCCATGGCGCGATAAGACATTCAGGACTTCACCTATTATTAATTATATGAGTTCATTCTTTGTGTGATTTGTAGAAGTTGCATAGGCCTGCATGTGGGGACAACCCCTGAGCTAGTCGATAGGTAGCCTGTAAAAATGGATTTAGATCAGCACCATTTGTTATGTTTCCACTATGCAGAAATCGTATTTGTGTCAAAATGCTTTTGAGGAAAACAACTGCACAACAACCCAGAGCAAAGGATTTTCACCCTGACCTCTACATCGGACTTGTTGCGCCTTCATTACTGCGTATACGCTCAAATAGATCGTGTTAGGAGACACTATTCCAAACCATTTATTTTAAAATCTACATAATTTAATCGTTCATTAATGACATGTGTCCATATAGCTATCGCCAGATTATGGACTTTTGGCTTCATCCTTCACTGAACCATCACACAAGACACCGTTTTTACTCCTGCTGTCATAGCGCGGACCTTTATGGTTTGGTTTCAGTACTGCTAAAAATGTGGTCGATCAAACTCATTTTACCCCTTTTTATTTAGTTAGATTTGTTTAATTAAGTAATTAGTTAATTAACGACAGGCCTATACATTTATATAAGACTCCTCCTGAATTATTATAAATACACCAACATGACAAAAATTGCCCCAGTCTTTCAATACTGTTAATTTGCAGAGGATTATGTAATGCCTTCACTGTAGGGCTACAGTTTGTTTATAGTGACCCCCCCCCCCCCTCCCCACACAAAGCACAAAATAAATGATGGGTGCGTGATAAAATATGTCTTGTTTTTGTGGATTTAGGCTTAAATAGCCCACAGATATATTTTACTTCTTACAAATGATTTGTTGTAATATAACCTAAAGCTCTCACTGATGGAGCCTCGCTAATTTTCCTAACAGTATATAGGTATACAGTGCTGAAAATAATGCTCTACATATATCTAACACAAACGACATAACAGTGCTTACAACATATCCTCAACGGTCTTTTTAAAACAAATATTAAGCGTTCTGACAAATATTGCCAATAAAGCATACACCTCCTTGGCCAATTCGCCTGAAATTAAAATATGTAGGCCTACAGAATAAATAAAACGTTGCGCTTATAGGCTATTCAAAAAGTGCCTTCATCGTTTTTACACAGTAAATATGGACACACAGTATGTATGCAATGTCCATCATTTTTCATTTCAAAATTAAACGTTGATAAGTACGTCAAAAAAAGACCCTCAGCCTAATTTGTAAAAGAAAAGTAAAAACGTTAGACTGAGAAAATGGAAGGAAGTGTGCATTTTTACATTGGCCTACTTAAACAGTAAGAAAAACAAACAACACAAGTGAAGTGGTGGCCATCCGCTTTGCAGAACTAAGTACCAAACAGCAGCAGGGATTCATACGCGCAGTCTCTACCCCGCTGGTCGATGCTGATGGCATGAAAAGTTTTTCTTTTCTTTTTTTTTAACTATTATTATTATATATTATTATTATTATGTGGTTATTTTGTGATTGACCAGTCTCCGTGTCTTCGTCGCTGTGCTAAACAGCACAGAAAAGTAGTCCGGTCTACTGGAAGCAGTGAGCTCTCTCCAGGGCCATGCCATGCCTTGGTGTCTTCTCAGTGGTTATTTTCACTTGTTTGTTCTTATTTCAGCTCACTGTGCCCGGTGGCTCAAGTCTGCGACGCCGTCCTCTGCTCTGCAGACTGTCCGTGGAGGCATCACATGACGCACGGCTTGATGTCCTGGTAGGAGACCTGTTGGTGGTGGTAGTACGAGCCGCTGCCCGGTGAGTGCATCGCTGAGGACGCCATGGCGTTGAACGAGAAGACGAACTCCTTTCGGTCACACATGCTGGGAGACTGGGAATGGTACCGAGGAATACCTGCAAATAGGTATTTTAAAATATGGGTTAAAACAAGATGATGTGCAATGTCACAAGTAGGAGAACTTTGCTTTCCAATTTAAATATATCTTCTCAGTTTCTAAAACGGTTGTTTTAGGTTCTGAAAAAAAAATCTAAAAATAATATAATTTTATTATATTTATAAATACTTTCAATAGGGTTTAGAAGTTAATTTTTCACTTTTTCTCTTATTATTAAATGATATACATTTCCTCTTACAGCCGCAATATAGCCTTAAACTTAATTGTATGGAACTATTAATAATAAAAGAGGTATTAACATGAAATACTAATAATAATAGTAATAAATATAGTATCTTAAAATGTGTAGATTGTAAAACATTGATGGTCGCGGTACTTATACAAGACTGACACGTTTCCTTAAAAATTCATATTTAACCAAGTTTAGAAACACTTTTCACTCAGCCTGTTTCACTAACTAGAATCCATGTGGATTGCTCACAGACCAGAGGTCCATTTGACATCTAACACTGGGACGGTAAAGAGGGAGGCGGACTTTCAGGGCTAATTGACAGGGGCCCTCTTGCACGCCAGTCCCGGAGGACTGGGGGCCTCGGGGCAAGGCAGGCTGGACCTAACCGCGCTTGTTTGTCTTGCCTAGAGTTTGGCACGACTCTCCTTGCGCTCTTTTGCCTCTTTTTCTGCTTTTTAAAAACCTCTTCCAGAGACCGAAGTCGTGCGAGTTTGAAACATCTGATACCTGGGTTTTATTTGGGGTCCTTCTGTATTCTCTTTAATTAAAAGCAGGACAATGACGAATCTTATGTGGGAAAATGTGGTTTCTTTTAGCTGCATCATTTTCCTTAATGGTCTTAATTTGAGTATTTCTTCCGTTTTGTGCCTTGGAGATAATCCCGTGTTTAGAAACGGCAAACTGCACACAGTGTAATTCATAAAGGTAACACACTCTGAGGATGCTCAATGTTTTCATCATTACCACAAGAGCATGAAAATTACCAGCCTTGACCATATACAGAAAATATTGTTTACTTCCTCTAATAATTTAATGGTTTGGTCCAGAAGGGAATTGGATTTGAAATCTCATTGAATCTAAAATATTTATCCTGCTCTTCACTATTTTCCCAGATGTTTTCTTCAGTAAATCATCTGCAGTTTTACTCAACATTTTACAGTTTTGTTAAAGTATAGAGGTGACATTCATGTAACGTAGAAGGCCTATAGAGCCTACCTTGTAAATCTGTGGTACTGTGCCCGTTCTGGTGCAGGTAAGACTGGTCTAGTGAATGTGTGGGCAAGCTTGGCTGCAGCGGGTTTGCCCCTGGATTACAAGGAGACAGAGGCTGCTGCTTTATATAGGAAGCCCCGTTATTCAGCGAGGCCGAGGGGGCCGGAGCCCACGCCGAGGCTGAGCTCGAGTAGACTGGGTGAGGCTCCATGACTCCCCCGCTGGTGAGAAGAGGGGAGGCCGAGTTGTCGTGGTGGGGATAATCACTCCCAGTGGATCCTGTACAACTTCCCATGTAGGAATGTCCACTGTTGGTCGACAAGTGTGACATGGAGTGTCCGGACAGACCCATGCCCTCCATGTTACCTGCCAAGTGTCCATTCATCATCCCAATCCCACTGTCCAGAGACAAGCTGTTGGGCGGACAGGATAGGCCCCCGCCGCTCCCCTGGAAGTTGTAGGACTCGGGGATGTGGTTGAATCCCAGGCCGTTCATCATGCTGTACATAGGCTTCAGCGCCTGGCACTTGCGCCTAAAACCTCTGGGTCTCCTTCTGAAGGACCCTTCCTCGAACATAAACTCACTAGCCGGGTCGATAGTCCAGTAGTGGCCTTTCCCCGGCCGGCCGAGGCCCTTGGGCAGCTTAATGAAGCACTCGTTCAAGGACAAGTTATGACGCACAGAGTTCTTCCATCCTTGGTATGAGCCTCTGAAAAACGGAAAGCGACTCTGCAGAAACTGATATATTTCACTGAGCGTCAGGCGCTTGGTTGGAGAGCTCTGGATAGCCATGACTATTAAAGCTATGTATGAATACGGGGGTTTCTCTGGTCGACGGATCCCTGCGTTTGTCTTCTTGGCTTTCGTAGTGGAGGAGGCGGTTTCCATCACCGCCGTCTGCCCGTGTGGCTTCTCCGGAGCAGACATCGGGCTGCTCTGGGCAGGAGTCTGCGCTGGGGGCTGCTGGACCTCTGCCGTCATTAGTTAAATTTAGTCTTCGAGATGGCAAACAAAAGTTGTTGTTTTCCACCTAATAACACTACAAAGTTTGACACGAATTCGCTGACATAAAGAGCCAAAAAAGAACTCTATACGCAAACGGAACGCACAAACCAAAGGCGCGACTGACTTGTGAACTCTGATTTCTTCCTTTTGATTCAGCCCCGCAGCAATCTGAAGCCAGACCGCCTTGTACGCACCGTCCGAATGGGAGAAGGAGCAGAACAGGAGCCGCTTTCCACTTCAGTTGGTGTGTTGTCGTGCGTCCGAGGAGCTCACTTTTTACTTATCTGTTGCCATCAGCGCATTGCAAGCTGGATGTCTTGGCAATCGTAATCTTGAGACCCGCCCAGTTCCCCTCCTACTCCAGTGGTGGGCTGTAAGCATGCACATCTGTGTGCCTTCACTTTCAGGAAAATGTTTTTACCTTCCTTACAATGAATTTGGGAATATAATTCCTATATAACCGGTATCATCAGCTATAGAGCAGAAAGAAACCCAGAAGGTTAAGAATGTATTAAATGATCATACAGTAATGACAATAACTATCCTGGTCAACAGCTTTACATTTCAAATGGTCGTGTTTTCTAAAAATGCCTTATTTAATTTTATTCTTATTTTGACACTGAATGCTCGAAACTGTGTAGACTCTCACACCTGCAACGCAAATAGTATCTCCCCATTTCAGGCCACATGGCCGACGCACCAGCCCGCAACAGGTCATATGGCTATGTTGTTATTAAACGTGATGAAATACTTTATGAAACATTTCTAGTGTATGAAAATCAATTAACCGAAGAGCATATCCCTCATATTGAAAACCACCTTCCTGAATTCTGTAAAAAAAAATGGACAGGAACATGGGCAGGATGTTTATACAGCAAAATCTAAACATTTTCCCTGGCCTTCTTTAAATAAAAAAAAATCAAGCAAAAGCCCCTTTAGATCAGCTAATACTCAATCTGATGCGATATGCCCAACTGTTCGCGCCGTCTTGTGTAGATGTTGGACGTTGTTACACACGAATATTGTTTGTGCAGTGCAGTCATAATATTTAGACGCAGGAGGAGTGAGGTGGAAGCTCTGCCGAACTGTGAGCACAGAAACTCCGACGTGTACTTGAGATCAGCTCCTGCAGATGGTTTTCCGCGGAATGGTCGAGGAATCAAAGTAAGGTGGATTTAAAAAACTAATCAGTCCCGATATCACATGCAGAAGTGATGCAGCTTTAACTCAGTTTCACATTGGAAAGTTGAGATGTTTCGTTTGTTGCCATTAAACGTTATAAGACTATTAGGAAAATTCAGCCCAAGTTATACCATAGTTGTAATTCACTCTGAGTAAGATGCGCACCAGTTTGTTTGTTTGTTTGTATTTCCGATGTAAAAAAAGATTTTAGTGTAACGTATTGTCCCGTGTACATCTGTGCGCGAGAACTACTGAAAGACGATCAGTCCATAACCTAAAACCGCTGACAGTAGGTTGCTTATTGTTCCCTGGAGAACCCCGATCGCTGCAGCCTGCAGCTTTTTGCCTCTCCGTTAGATGAGCTCGTTGTGCTTACGATCTCTGCCGTTATTATTCCTAGTGAATGTTTATGATGCTTGTTGGTTGGGACACCATGGAATATAATATAGGAGGAAATAGTGAATAGACCTCTTTTCACACTATGGCATTTGCGTAAAGTCAGAGAATGTTTGGCGACTTCATTGCCCGTGCGTAAAACGTCTGCAATATTTTAGGTCAAATAATCTGGAAGCGTTTATGTGCTTACTTTGAGGACGAATATCATGTCTAACTGAAACCCCAAGCAGTTTGACCTTATAGGGGACTGTGCAGTCTCAAAACAACGAATGTTGCAGAAGGTTTGCCACAGGGGAAGCGAGAAAACAATTCACTGTCAAATGGATGCCAACCCGAAGGTGACTGACGCACCACTGTTAGTTTTTGCTGTTGCAGAGGAGAATTAACCCCATGGATAAATGAATGTAAGTATTGTTTTAACCGGTCCCTGCTCGGCCACTCGCCTGGAGTGAGGGCCACACATTTATCAGCGTAACGGACCACCCAGCGCGCACCAGGGCCAGGCGCGCTCCCGTACCCTCTCTGTCCACTGCATTTAATTACCGCTGATGACTTCATTCCATTTAGGCGTCTTTTTTTTCACACGCCCATTCGTCCCATGTCATGTTATTCTTTCTTTGATTTACATAAATGGCTTTTTTTTACGTGCACGTCCACCCAAAGCCAGAGTCTGTAATGTTTACGCAAACCATCAGTGTTGGATGGTGATGCGCTCCTCCCTGTCGCACTCTTCCTACCTCATAAAAAGCCGCAAAATGTGTTATTTTGCTATGACTTCACATATTATTGGCGTTATAATGCTCGGTTTGGCTAATACAGTAATCAATAGGCAATAATGTATATATGTCTATTCTCATATAACATACTCGTATCAACAAAATAGTTTTCCTTGTGAATATACAGACGTTTTAAAAACATTTCGCATATGTACAGGCACCAAACGATTGCCACAAGAGCGTCAGTGGCAGATTATGTTCATCATTACTGAGGCTTAAGTCCCGAGGTCAGAGCTTCCCCGTTGTTCCATCATAGCCAAAGTTATGCGCTTTTCCATGACGTCCCATCGTGAAATATTTGACAGCACTGCATCCTCAGGAATGTTCGGCCTCTTAGGTGGAGGTGCTTCCCAGTGTGCGCAGTCCTGACAGGCTTTCCGGACTGTCTCACTGTTACTTATAGTGCATAGAAACCAAATTTGGACATCTCAAAATCACGTTGTCGCAATGTTCTGCAGAAATGTGCACATATTAATTACAATCTTATTTCAGTCAGCTTAAACTCCTGTACAATGGCAAACTACAGCAACAGACCAAAACATGTACCATTTAGACTTTTTCCTCATACCCAGTGTTTCAGTCTTTACAATACGTCCAGTTTTTTCTTGTAACATCTTTTTGAGGATTTGTCTCATGCATGACCATCTTATCTGTTTTTTTGTCTCATGCATGACCATCTTATCTGTTTCCTTCTAGACACTACAATATTACCTTGTGTTACAACATCTGAGCAGGTCAAGACACGGTTAACTTCAAAAGTATTGCTTCTTCATAATAATTAGGTGAATGCACCCGGCGGATCATAGATTCCACAGCTGGTCAGTAGTAGGTATAATTCGATTTAGCCTCACAGAAACAGATTCAACTGTTGGATAGATGAGGCAGAGGATTTTCAGTGTTTAACTTAGATGGAATGATCTTAATAAGATATAAACTGGTTTCCCTCCTCGTGGTGCATGAAGGCCAGAGGGTCACCAAGAGGCCGCAGGACGTTGTGTGGAGGACTGCGCCACAGAGTAATTGATCAACTGGCTGTAAGTTCATCCATCTTGAACTTGAATCAAATCTTGAAGCAATCTCTCTAAAAAGTTTTAGAATATTATTCATGTTTAGAATTGTACGTATAGTAGACAGTCGTTTAATCTATAATCATCGACTTTCCTCAAGTAAAATGTAACTGTTCTGCGAGTATATGATGTGATTTGTTAAAGGATTTATTTTGAATAGCCTGGAGAGAAAGAAGTTCACTATTTCTGTTAATCTTTTTATGTAAATGCATCTTATTTAGGTATTTAATTTTATAAGGATTATGAACTCGAAATTTAAACTTAGAGGGCTCATAAAAACGCTTGCAAGTGGTTTAGAAACGATTAGCAAATTATTTAGATCATTTCTATATAAAAGAAATAGGGCTAGAGGTTTCTCTGACTTTATTAATCATTTACAGTTGGTATGTAGGACTGCAAGCTTGATGGACAATCAGTGTTAGATGCACAGATACATACAAGTGTCAGTTTTGCTCAAAGACCGTTTTAGAAATAAACGTGCTGCGAGTTTTACGTCCTTATAGGAGGTCTGAAAAAAAGAATGTGATTTCTATAGATGATTCTATTATTATCTTGGTTAACATCCATTGCCCAAATTTAAAAGAATGATAAAAATTCTAGACTGTAGATTATAAACTGATCTTAATTATATGTTTAAAGTGTAACGTTTTGCTTTCTCCGACGTTTTATCCAAAAGCATCCTAATTCGTTTTCAGGCTCTTTGTCTCTCCACTGTCACCTGTAGTTCACTCAGCATTGTCGCTCTAATTGAAAACAGTGTAATGTCGAGGTGGGTACCCCCTCATCACTTTCCCTGCGCTGTAGGTGGCCGTGTATATTTTCGTTTAAGTGGTGTTTATGTGAACGAGAAAGAACGGGATTGCTAGCAGACCGCTGATTGCGCGCATTGGGCCACTACATGGATTTGAAGTGTATTTGATGGGCACCACCCTCTCCAGTAATCAACTGCAGCAGAAGTGCGCTCTATGACTTTTTAATTTTCTTGGCGAGATATCTGCCCCGCGCCTTGTTGTGCGTAAAGAGGCACAGAATCCCTTAGATGTTGATTTTATGTTTGTGTTAATGTTACGTTTTACAACAAATTCATAGCGATGATGATGTATGGAACAATGGGAACTCATTCAGATAAATATTCTACAAATATCTGTACTGCTCAACTGCCCTTGAGCATGACTCCGACCCCAAACCAGCTATGTCTGCACAGTGGACCCTGCACTTTGTCGTCCCTCACACTGCAGCTGTTGTGGTCTAGTGGGAATTGTAAGGTGTTTATTAATCTGAACTCGGACTCATTTAGTTCAGTGCAGTTTCATTTCATTTGTTTAAAACGTCTCACACGTGATTCAAGCAAGATTTGTCAAGATAGGATTTTTGTAATTTAACGCATAGACCACTTGATTCAGACAAGTTTAATATTGGACTTAATCGGATTATATGAGGCGGCTCATATTCTCTAATAATTGAAGTGAGATAAAAACTGGCCTTTCGATGATTAATGTGTCAGGATCGGTCGTTGACATCTTTTGAATTCACCACAGGTCTCAGTAATCCTCCCACAGTACATCTACTTTACCACAGATAAACCCGAAACTTTCATATTATCAGTGTAATCATTAAATAGCTGGGTTCCTGTTGTTATTCGTGTGTCACTTCTCTCACAAACAGAAACGCCCACCTGTCTCCCTCCGCTGCGCGCACACACCTGCAGCAACAGCTTTTTAATTCATAGTTACAGGCTCAGCTGTGGCCGGTAACAGAGGAGCCGGCGATGTGTGGATGCTGCAGACCTTCGGCTACAGTGAATCTGTGTTTGCGCATTGTATTTATTTATTAGTGATTTTAATTGTTTA